GCAAAACCATGTGTTTTCTTGCCAACCTTGCAAGTTACCTTCCCTTTCCCTGTTCAAGTGATAAATTGTGAATAATAGACAACATCACTGTATCATGTATGAGTGCTCCTAAACAAAATTTTAAGTCACAGGGTTTCTGAAAGTGTTTTTGTTTTTTGGGTTTGGGTTCTTTGTTTTTTTTTTTTTTTTTTTTTTTTAGTTCCATTTGACTTTTCAGATCAAAACCGTGACTAATAGCAATGTTCAGGCCAATTGCATCCATGGTGTGCTCTTTGTTAAGAAACCTAAGCTGCAGCTTTTCTAGAATTATGTGCTCGTGCACCTCTACACATAAGCACAACTCTTCAGAACATTCACTTTTTGCCAGGTGCAGACTGACCTCTCTCATCTGCCGTATTTTACCACACAGCTCTGGTAAGCAGACGTCTTCCTGTTCAGTAGGACACGTTTCATGCCTGTTGAGCTGTTAAATTTCTTATAGCTCTTGGATTCTTGTTTAACACTCCTCCAATGTTGCTCACTGAAAAGGACAGACAATAGAAGAGGCATTAGCCACAAATCCTCCAATCAATCTTGACTGCAGAGGAATCTATGGCACTTTCTGGGTCCTGGCAGGAACTCTGGTTGACTGGGATGGCCAGATGCTTGAGTTGCACATGAAGCTTTCAGCCTGGTCTCAGTCTTTAGACTCTGAACATGTCTCACGTTCTCAGGCTTAGCAGCCCACCCACCCCAGAAAGACATCCCCCCTTCTGAGGTCAACTTGACCACTCCGCCTGTGTCTTCACCTCACTGTTCTAGAACCATCTTACGCCCAGGCCTCTGTTTTTCCCACCCACAACCCAGAACTGAAAAACATGTTTCCATGTTTCCATGTCCACTCCAAAGTGAAATGGGACCATTAGTCAAGACTTTATCAAAGCTTTCATTTTTCTGATGGTAGAACTAAGAGATGACACAGTTCTGACTTTTTGTGAGAAAGCAAGAATATGTAGATAGTTATCCCACTGGCTCTGACTTCTTAGAAAACCATTTTTCTCTCATGAGGTAGATTGGTATCAAGCACAAATACCCCTTATTAATTCTGTTTTCACTTCTTCCTCATTTCAGTTATTTCCATCATTGCTATTATACTTCTCTGGGTTAATAACAGAGCAAGGTGATGATGTTTTTAAATGTCTAACTCAAAGATGGTTCAAAATTTTAACTTACAAGTACTTGAAATTAGGATGCATGCATTGCATCCTAATAAAATTCAATGGAACTTTGTACAACTGATATTTTTTGTATTTTCCTAATTTGGATATCTTCATTCTTTCTGAGTATGAAAGTATTAATTTGCTCATTACAAAATTTCAGGTACAGGAATATATGCATGAAGTGAAAATTACCCAAAATCCCACCATCTAACAGTTTGCTATAAAATTCACTTTTAAAAGAATTACTTATTTAATTTTGTTTATTGTTATTATTATTATTTTTTAATTTGACTGGGAGAAACAGAGGGAGAAAGAGAGGGAAAATGAGAAAGTAAATTCCCAGGTCCAGGAATTGAACCATGGTCAGTCACATGGGAGTCCAGCACCTTAACCACCACACCCCCTGCCAGCACCAAAATTCACTTTTTTAAAGTGTAAAATTCAGAAGGTTTTAATATATTCACAAGTTATGCAACTATCACCATTGTCTAGTTCTAGAACTTTGTCATCACCCCCAAAGAAACCCTCAGCTCTATCAGCAGTGACTCCCCCACCACCATCCCCTCCAGTCTCTGACAACCACTTGTCTCTTTTCTGTCTCTATTGACTTCCCTATTCTGAAAATTGCATGTGTGTGTGTGCATGTGTATGTACGTACACGCATACACACCTACATTATGTAGTTCTGGTGATGAGATTCTTTCGCTTAGCACCTTATTTCCAACGCCCATCCATGTTGAGCAGTGTATTTCATTTCTGTTCCTTTCTGAGCAACATTCCATTGGATAGAAATACCACATTTTGTTTAGCCACTCATCTCATTGAAGAACATTCAGGTGGTTCCCACTACAGAACCATTATGAGTAATGCTGCCATAAACATTCATGTGTAAGATTTCGTGTAAACCTGTTTTCAATTCTCTTTGTCTAGAGAACTCATTTCCTTTTTTATACAGGGTCTTGCTATATTGCCATTTCCTATCTCAGCTTCCTGAGTAGCTGGAACTAGGCATGAGCCCCTGCACCCTGATTTTCAGGTGGGCTAGAAGTTGAACCCAGGCCCTCCATGTGGCTTTAGCTTGCTGAGTAGTAGCATCTACCAGCTCATGCTACCATAGCTGAGCCCTAAGACTTGTTTTTTTGGTTTTGTTTGTTTGTTTGTTTGTTTTAATGAGAGAGAGAAAGGACATGCAGGAAGAAATAATAGAGACAGAGAGGTAATTTTTTTTTAGAGAGAGGTTTTGGTTTTTTTTTTCACTATAGGGCACATGCACTCACCAGTCAGAGAGAGACATAGAGACAGAAAGCGAGAAATCACCCCCCAAGTGGGATGGTCACGCCGCAATCCCTTCTCCTCCATTCTCCTCTCGGGATCTTGGGCACGCATGCACACGCACCCAGCATGAGTTTTAAGCTACTGGGTCCGGGACTCAAACCGCAGCCGACCACGTGGGAGTCCAGTAACATAACCATTACGCTAACTGCTGGTCCTCAGAGAGGTAATATTTTTTGACATTGGTACACCACATCACAGTCCTCCACCCCAGTCTCCAGTTAGGACCGCAGGCATATGTCACTGTACCCCACCTGTCGAGGCTGGACTGGAATCAGAACCTGGGACTGCCACCCTGATCCAGGCACCACACAGCAGTTCCTTCCCACCCATGCTACTGTAGCTGGGCCTCCTAAATATATTTGAGTGAATAACATTCCAGACTTTTTAAGGCATATCTGTATTCACAGGTAAATATATAGAGAGACATGTTACTGTTCCCAACTATCCACTCCTCCTTCCTCCAGGAGAGTTAATAAAACCTTCAGTTTCCAAATGACTTGTAGTGCCTTCCATGGGAAGACTATCTGCCCCCCAGCCCATCATCATGACCAACTGGTCTCCTGCATGGGCCAATGGCCTGTGGCAGATGTAACACACGCCATGACTGAGTAGTGTTTGCTTCCATGCCCTCTTTGCTTCTCCTCTCTGCCATGAATAGAAGACTGCTTCTTCAGTTTGAGTTTCAGAGCAGCAGAGAGTGGGACCTGAAATACAGCCATTAACATATATATGAGAGAAGAATCAATTATTACCATAAGCCACTGAGATTTGGGGGGTCATTATTACTGCCACAAAGCTGACTAATGCATGAATAAATCATTTATCACCTGTTTTTTTTTCCCACCTAAGGATATAGCGTGGGCATCTTTATAGATGTAAACTTAAAACAGGGGTGTTATAAAAACTGAAGTCCAAATAGATGAACTGTTCCGGGTGACAAAATTAGTAAAAGAGACCAAGCCAATCGTATATCCCTATTCTGATTTGCAGCCCAGTTTTCTAATTAAATGGAAGGAGGGGCTAATCCTGGACATTTGGGTGAGATTACAGGACATTTATGAAGATCCTCATGCAATTGCATGATTGCTGGACTGAAAATTCCAAACTCACTCATGCTGTACTAATGAGTTAATGCTAATTGGAAAATTGTATTAAGCTGAAATGTGTGTGTTGTGCTTTTCACAAAATGTGTTTTGAAAGGGAGTGGGGTCGGGCAGTTATAAGAGCTAATCCTTATTCTTTATCTCTGCAGCCATTCGAGTCTGGGATCACTACTGACAAATAAGGAGTTCACTGCCTTCAATCCATTTTTCGTGCCTCACCAAACTGTCACTCTGTTTTGCATGATTTAACATAATTGCCTGCCTTTGCCCCAGAGGCTGGCTGCTTAGCCTGCAATGGGCCACCGAGAGAAGGGAATCTTGGCCAGCATCAGCCCACGCTCCGTCTGGTTTAAGGCAGTGGTTCCATCCCTTTTTCTGTCTTAAACTCATAAATAAATGACAATTTCATACAACTAACTTTCAGAAAGAAAAGATTTTGGTAAATGGCCACTGTTGTTAAGTAATCGCCAGAAGCTTATAAATGGCCATGGCTGGAGCACTCACAGCTTTCAGTCCTGATATCATCTCTAGGCGATAAACATGGCCACCAGTGGTCTTCAGAAATCTAGACCCAGCAGGCCCCTACAAGAAGAGTTTCCTTCCGTATATTACACTGAATAGGCAAAATTGAATTAGAAATAAGTTGATTTCCATACCTTCATAGAGGTGAGGATAGTTAGGGGGAAATTTTTATTGTTCTCAATTGCTTTTTTATCACCAAACTATTTGCACTTACACATAAACAGAAAACATGCTTTTAGAATGCTACAAGTTGTTAACCTTTTACACCAAATCAATTTTATATTTATGATAGCACCAGCCTTTAGAGATTATCTTAGTATGAGACTAATCCCCTCAATTTATAAACAAGAAAAATAATGCACTCAGAACTGAAAGGGCATATCCTGGGTCATAAAACAGGCAGTCTGGCTGGACTAGGCCACTGAATCCTGACTCCCCAGCCTGTCCCTTTCTCTTCCATGCCACTTCCTTAGCAAGTGTATAACCAAGAGGGAACTTATAAGACCTATTCAAGACATGAATAAGATGGCTCCACTGAATCTTCTAGGAAGTTGAACCAACCACAGAAAATACCCTGTCAGTGAGCAGGAGCCCCAGCAGGGACTGGAAACAAAGGTATCTAGTAAGATGATGGATGGAGACACACATGGGCCTTTATCTGGGTGGCTCAACTGTGAGCCCTCAAGTGTCTCCAATACTCACACTAACCCCCCCC